TCTACAGTTAATTGTCTTGTTCACATTTTTCTATACTTTTATGTCCAACTTTTTTCACACACAGACACCCAACTCTTAATTTTGCAGTATGCTTGTTCATTCCCTGCGAAAGGTGGTGTCGTGTGATCACAAATAGGAACTTTGTCAAAAAGTGTCGCATGATCTGACCACGGAGAAAGAACTTGTACAGAGTATTATTACTGTTATTTTTTTTTTTTTAAATCTACAGATAAGCTCAGCCAAGAAAGGCTATTTTTTTGTCATTGAACCTTCAAATAGGAAAGTTTATGAATGAGTTGTGACTTTTGAATGGGATGTTCCACTGATGCCCTTTTGATGACTTTGACACTGCTGTGTTTCCTTTCTATCATGGCTTCCATGGCTGTGTTTTCACTATAAATAAACCAACACACAGACATTTGTGTATCTAGAGCAACCGAAGAAAACTTCCAAACAAAAGAGTCTCTTCACGGCTTGTATGTTTTTTATGTCAATGAAAAATTAATTACTGGTTTTTACTTCCTAAAGGGCAATTCTAATTGAAAATAAATAGCCGGTGCACATCATTTCAAAACCAACCAGCAGTGGCACACAAGCGGGATACCAGCACGATGGTTTCTTTGACATGCCCACATCTGATTCACACTTGCTCGACAAGCCTTGTGTAAACATCCCTTTTCAATGCGGGCCCATTGTAGTATGCTATTTGCAGATAATTTTCCTCGGATCCATTGCGGGTATGGCCAGAGATCAATGCAACTATTTCCTCCCAGATAATTAGAAGGTCGTTAACATCGGTGCGCACACATGCTTTGGCACGTCAGTGCTGTTATCAGCCAATCAGGCTGCCAGAATGCATACATACTTTCATTGCAGTATCGATTGTCCTCTGGTGGGGGGGGGGGGTGGATAAAGATGATAGTCTTCACGAAATGCTGCTCATTAGTCAAACTCTGCATGTTCACAGCAGAGTTTTTCTGTACAATCTCTGCTGTTATAATGACATGATAAGGGACGTGCACACTTTCCAAATCTATGTGCTGAACCCATCAGAATCCCCTTTCACACTATTAAACAAGAATCTAACAGTAACACAGCTTCTGCAAAGGTCCGGCACTCTACACAGGTACAATTCAACCCTGGTAAGGACCTGGGGCCAATTTCATAGAGCTGCTTAAGCACAAAATTTGCTTAAGCACAAAAAAGTCTTGCTTGATAAAATCAGGTTACCGGCCCTAACTCCATGCGATTGCTATGCTAAGTAAACAACAGCTAAATACCAGTCACTAACAATGTACATCACTTGGAGTTTTGGACGGTAACAATTTTACTAAGCAATGTTTTTTCGTGCTTAAGCAAATGTTGTGCTTAAGCAGCTCAATGAAATTGGGCCTTCAGAGGCTCTAGCTGGGCCGAAATTCAGAAATTTACAGCTGACCCAGGAACATGGGCATTGTGCGCCTTAAGTGCCTACCCATTCGATGGGGCCTGGTTTTGCATACAGTGGACCCGTTTTGATTTTCAAAACTGTAGGGGGAGGATCATGTGAAAAGGCCTACAGGGCAAAACATCCAAGATGATGTGCTACACCATAGTGACCTGAGCGCAAATCTCGCAAAGGTCATCACGGTGGTTTCTGATATCGCATAGTTTTTTTTATCTCTGTAAGTTCCTGTGCCATTGTACCTCCTACTTCTTAAGTTCAAAATGTCATCATTGTGTTCCATTCACTGGACTCAGTCTTCCGCACCAAAGGGGTGACAAATTTGATTGTGCCCTGTACAATAAAAGCACAGGGGAGGAATAAAGGGCAATTACACGCCTCGATAAACACAACGGTAGAATTGACGCTAGCATGTGTCAAAGAAATGAAAACGATTTCAACCGAACTATTGCTAGTTTCATAAAAAAGTAAAGTGATTGTGTTAACACAATAAGAGGCCCAAATCAGAACTTCCGTCTAATGACTTTGCAATGTAATTTGTAAAAAAAAATATTACACTGTGGTAAACTTCTTGTTTCGATTATTCACGTACATGCAATCTATTATGTTAAACACAGCATTTTCTAGAAACATCTGTCGAAGGTACATGTATAGCAATTTCAACTGAAATTTCAAGGAAATTATTGGCTCTGATTGTTCTGTTATCAATGAGTTTCCAGTTTCTCCAGTGCGGGAGATTGCGGTTCCCCCGACACATTCCTGCCATTGGGGGTTATCTGTGCAGCTGTTTGTTTCGATGCTTAATTAGAAATTTCAGTCTCGGCAATTTCTGCGCAAAGGTCCCAGGTCCTGATAAAGAAACATTCCAAAAGAGTGAGGGATGCGAATAGATGATGCCGTCGTCGACAGAAAAGCCCTTATTTGGTAAACAATATCACTCTTTTTGGAGGTTTGAATGTAGCTGAATCACGTCACCATAAAAGTGTTGTTAACTTGTCTGCGAAGTCAAAACAATTTGCTAAGTCGCTATCATTATATCAAAAGAGAAAGTTCTCCACTGCATAAAAGTCCAAAATAAGAGCATGAAATGAATTCCAAATGAACTGGTTTATGGCATCAATGACAAAATAAGCACGATGTTTGATCACAATATTTCAGTCATCAGTAACAACAATCCAAGGAATAAATTTAAGCCGTCAGAAAAAAATGGTCAGTTACGATTGTTACAAAAATGAACGCATCCTTCCACAAAGCCTTTAGGGTGTGGCCCAATACTGTCTATGCATGTAATGAGTCCTGAGGTATTATTGCCGCGTCTAAAGCAAAGGTGATTTTTTTTTTCAAGGCAGGGGTAAAAAATGAGACAATTCCTCCTACTCGGTGGAGAATATGAGTAGACATGGCCTTCATGATGGCTTGAATTCGCAGGTGTGATATCCGCAGTTGATGCCTTCACTCGGGCGTGAAGCCACAGCAACACTTTATGGCTAAAAAATTGCCAATTTTAGTTGTCTGATGAAGGCACAGTGTGGACCTAATGAAGCGGTAAGAGGAACCTACCCGGTACGTGTTGCGGAAGGGCTTTTGATATATGAAGCTCAATCATAGAGGTAGACACTGACACAAAATATGATTCATACAGAATTTTCAGTCACAGTCAAATGCCGTTTTTGTCAAAATGCTGTTTTATCAGACATGTCTTGTATAAAATATTTTTTTGCGGACACAGAATTATCAGAAAAGCTCACAGTGTGAAAGAACCTGCAAGTATAATTTCAAAAACCAAGCCTTCCATATTCAAGTCTCTTAGGGGAAACATTATACCGTTGCGCATCTTTTATATTTGCTTTAATGCAGCCTCAACATTGTACATGTACAGAATGAAGGTTTTCTCCACTAGTCCATATCTATTGCATTTTTACGATCATTTAAATGAGATTTGAGAAATAGGGACATTTACATTTTCATAAATATTGCACCCTGCTTTACATGCATTTCAATTCCATGCAGCTGTGTGCAAAGCTGCTTGGAATAATCTGCATTAAAAAACAGGGCCCAATTTCATGGTTCCGCTTATCTTTAGCAAAAAAATCCTGCTTACTACAGCAGAAAATTCTGTGTTTTTGGTCAGCATCTAATGTATTTCCCAGGTTAGAAAGGAATTTTGGACTATGCGCATGCATACATCCCGTAACTACGGATTCTGTGCTTACAGGGTCAGCACAGAATTGTTCTGCTAGCGCAGCACAGAAATTGTCATGAAATTGGGCCCAGATCTGCAAGCATTTAGTAGCAAACAGGTCTGCATTTTTCAGTAGCAATCTAAGTCTTTCAACATGACAATTTTAAGGCTATCAACATGCCTACATGCATGTGGAAGCCATGCATTAACTAAACCACTCATAATACTACACATGTTATGGTGCATGATTCAAGTAAAATGCAAATGCACGCATGATTTACTGCATAGGAATGTGTAGCAAAACATTTGGAACTGCATACATCAAGCCATGTTGTTGATGTTTGCATGTTCAGTGCAATTTGGAACATATCCTTTTGGTTAGTGAAACTACATTAAGAGTATATTTCCCAAGCAACTCTGCAATACATTTATTACAATTAAAAAAACTTGGCCACGATTTAACAAGCAGGAGTGACAATTAATGCTTTGCATTTACTGCAGGGTCAAAGCAGTAGTAAAAAAAGACACTTCTTGTCTAAATACGCATTAACTGGAAATAGGGTTGTAAACTGGCGAGGCAACCTTGGGGAAGTGCACCGCACACATGAGCAGCAACAGGGCTAATTTTTATGTACTTTTTATTAATCAGTCCGGCAGTGACCCTAATCCTTGACATCATGTTGTGAGATCCAGACTGAATTACCCTGGGGGCACAGAGGGGGTGGGGCTAACTCGTATTCCCCAGGGAGGGGGTGGTGCTATTTCATATAAAGTAAAATCCCTCACAAAAGAATGGAAGCAAACAGAACCAAAACATGGAGGTGATAACAGAAGAACAAAAATTATGAAAAATTTTGTTTGTCCTAGAATTAAAAGAAAATTAAATATTTGCTATGTTTAGCTTTCCATTGTTGCTCTAGACAATGATGATTGTGAAAAGGTTCGATAAACAAAATATTTCATCATAACTGTAAAGAAATGACAACTTCTTTATAAAACAAAAGTGAAATTTCAGTGTATCATTTCCAACTGAAATGCCTTCCTATCCCCCGCCAAAAAAAAAAAATTGCAAAGAATGAAATAAAAACTAGTACAACAGTTAGGTCAGAATTAAACAAGCACTGATATTTGGAATACTGACATGAAGAAAATAAAGCAATACTGCTATTTACTGCAAACAGAATTTCCAGTGACAGCTACTACACATTTCTATTTCAATTTATACCCACTATAGATCATACACTTCTTCATCACACACAAATGCGCACACTTGACAATTACCAAGCACTTAGAGTAAGACAGGTATGGTAGGAGAAAACAAAAATCTGCAGTGAAAGCTACTTGAAAGATCTGATTAAAAGCCTTGATACCTACATTGAGTATGATGAAATCCATGGCCGCAAACGAACCATAGGACAGATCCCCCGGCACAGGATCCAACTGCAGATCGTCGTCTTCACTCATCGGTATGTTACTTGCTGTCGCCATGTAGGCCCTATGTGATTCGCTTTTATTTTTTACTCCAATCCGACACTTCGACTGAGCATTCTCCAAGAAAACTCAATTATGCCGCATCCAAATTTACGCCGTTCAACGAAAATTGTTTAGTCTGATCCCGGTGCTGAGCTGTACAGGTTGACTGGTGCAATACTCCAACGCTTGACAAGTGACGAGGACTGCTTGAGAGGACACTGTTACTCCACATCCACCTTAGCAACTGGTCCAGCTGGCATACAATCAAAGTCAACACCAAGTCCTGAGCAGCGTTCTCTAACAGTACCGCCGTCGATGACTTCACACATTCAAGTTAAGTCCCTGCCAGATTGTGTGGGAGAGGCTCTACTCACACCGCGATGTTTGGCACAATTGCCTGTCCAGTAGCCACTCAATGGCACACAGTGCTATTCCCGCTCAGATCAGAGATGATGTGTGAATGAAGAGTGCGCAATTGGCTGATATTTAAGGGGGGGGGTGCTAACACTGACCATAGAAAAATGGCCAATTTAAAGTCCCAAAGTCATTTTAAAAACAAAATTGGACAAATTGTAAAATGTTGGGGGATTAAATGTACAAGTCGAATGTGATGCAGCTTTCATTTTTTGAAGTCCAATCAAACTCTGGAATTTCAAATGGCCCTGGAGCGATGAAAAATCGGGACACCAAGCCAGAACGTCTGAAATTACAAGTTCACGTCTCACTTTTCCCTCAGCTAAATGCCAACCACCTGAACAACTTGTTATGCATTCTACCGTCCACGTGCCTGACTTATTTACCATTGACTCAACTCACAACCTGATATCTGAAGGTATCTATATGGCTGCGGTATACGGAGACCAAAGTCACTTTTTACCCATTGCCCACTGCACAAATCTTGGTTGTGCATGTGGGGAGTAGAGCAGGCAATACTTGCCAGCCAATGGCCAACACACATGCAAATGAGCTACTCAGCAAGTCAGTCACCACTGTCCAATCAGAGCGCAGGCTGGACCCTGGACTGTTCCATTCCAAAGTGAAGGTCATATATGATTAATCTGTCTGCGTTGTTGGCAGGGGGGAAGGAAACAGCCAGCTTTGTAAAGGGCTTGGCTGGGCCCATTCAATGTAACAAATTGGATTAATTGTTGACTGATGAAGTGCAAGAGCAGTGTGTATAAACAGATGGGGAAAAAAGGGGAAAATATAAAACACGATATGGACAGAATTGACACAGCATGGCAGAAGCAATGTTGTGTTATTATCACATGCATGAAATCTGTTTAACCAAGTGGGCATCATTATCTCTCGGTTTTTCAAGGAAAAGTCAACAAGCCAAGAATGATTGGTAATTAGAGGGAATCTTCCCTTCTCTATATCACAGAGCAAAGCTTGCACAGCAGGGATTAACTCTAATACCAATGATACTGTACTTGCATCAATATCATTAGCGAAGTCGGAGACTATTTTTAACAATCTGTATTTGAACTAAGGAACCTGAAATAGATGCACACATCTGGCATATCACGACCGAACTGAAATTTTTTTTTTTTTTTCTATCAATGTTCAATTTTCATTTTTTTTTTCTTTCAACATTTTGAAACAATTATCAGTGTCACTATATTCAAGAATTCAAATCAACCTTATCAGTTGCATTCTTTGTCCATTAAAGGTAACATATATACAACATTTGATTTTGCTGTGATTTTCAGAAATGGATGGATTTGGGGGTCAGTATTTTTTAAACAAATATTGTTACACTGACCTGTTTAAAGTTTTGTGTTCATGCCCGAAAAACCAAGAAAAAAAATGCTGTTCTTGTAGACCCTACTTCAGAAAAAACGGAGCATTTTATACACAGTATTTGAAGAAATAAAAGCCAGGTTTTTTTCCAATGATGGTCAGCCGACAATCGTTGGAAATTGATACAAAATGTTTCATTTTTCTTGAAAATGACAGTGCCATGATTTCACAGGATGCTTGAGACTACTTGTATTATTCTTACAGTCAAGTAAGGTATTTCATGATAATTTGGTATTTTTGCTCTTTTGTTGCTTGCAAGTGTCGTATATTACCTTTAAATCATACCAAAAAAATTGTTGAGTCATCTGCATCCCTTCTCTAGCTTAACGGACCCCGCCCTCCAGCAAAGCAAACTTTAAAATAACACCTGCAGTTGAACAAGCTTCCTGCTCGTCGCTGGGAATTCATCTGTACTCCCTCATTGCCCAGAGATACTTCCTGACAGCCACCCAGGGATGCAACCAACACACACAGTCACAAGGAAAATCTAAAAACTCCAAGCCTGACCAAGCTGTTAAAAAACTAAAACTATAAAGCCACACTGCCACGAGGGGGAATGCACCGACCCAGAAAAAACATCCAGGCCAGATTTCGTCTTCCCTTTCTCTTTTTCCTGTCAAAGGCTTCTGGGCTGGAGTTTCCGCAAGGGAAAAGTGTCTAGGAGTTTGCATCGCAGATCCAGTCTTATGCATTAGTTATACATTTATCGCCGCTCTGTCACCCCTATGTGTAAAGTAGTAGTGTCGTGTAAACACGTTCATATGAACACATGCCCAGGTCTCGTTAAGTTATCTCTCTAATTTTTTTTCACAAATTTTGTTTGGCAAGACTGGCTAAAGTACAGATGTACCCTTCTTGGTGGTTCTACACTATCTCACTCTTTATCTTTTTTTTTCTCTGTAAGTGCAGTTACTGGTAGTGGAATGTTTGCGCACGACAAATATAATATCTTGCATGAAGATTTATCGAGTGCCGCTACCATCTTGATAAGTGTGCAGTGCAGAAACTGAAGAAGCGCTGGCATGTTGACTGTGTATCGGAGTTCAGGCAATGACCGGAATATCTGGGACTTATTTGTAGTGGCTCGGCCACCGGGGTGGGTATGGTCTCTCTAAGACAAAAAAAAAAATCTATAAAATAACCACACTTGTACATGCACATGCACATCCGAGCTATATAATCATGTACAACTCCATATACATTGGTGTACATGTATGTAAATGTTATGGCTGGACACTTGCAGCAGTGCAAGCATTCAACATTTCAAATCATGATTTCGATCCCTAGATATCCTGAAATGACATAATTTGCAAATATTTAATTTCCAAGAAATGCTCTGAACTTTTCTAATTACAGAAACTGTAAATCATAATGTATTCATCGACATGTGTGATGGGATCAAGCTAAATGAGTCGTTTGTCTGGAATTTTCATTTGGAGATTCAGGCCAAATTAGGGCCACTTCATCACATCACTACATGTACATCACATCTCTTGGTGTTCCGACTTCCATAATTTTTAAACTACACATGGTACCAGCATGCAGTTTTCACAGCAGTAATGCTGAGATTGTGCTCTTTTCAAATCTGTAAAAAAAAAAAAAATTACCAGGGTTGACAAACCACTAATTTAGCTTGATCGCATCACATTTGTTTTTAAGAGAAAAAGCTGCTTGGGAACAGATGAAGGGCTGCATTAAATTTTAATTCCATTCACTTCTGGTTCTCGAAACATGCTTTGCATTAATGAAAACCGAACTGCACATTTTGGCATTGCAAACCATCAACAAAATAAAACTCATGTGACAAATGGTGATACACATATGCAAACACCCATGGTTAACATGAACAGCAAAATTCCTGATATCAAGAAAAATCCCAAATGGACAAAAAAAGCGTACAATGTATATCTGCATGCAAGAGGTGAAAGTCAGTAACGCTCCCAAATGAGCGGTTTTTGCCAAAATAATGAAAACATGCATTTTGTCTTCTGCATTCCCACAAATTCATTTTGAGAATTCATACCCAACATTTTAATTCATTAACAAAACAGAGGGGGAAAAAGGAGAAAAGAAGGCAGTCATGCATATATTGTGCGGCCTCAAGCTTTTGAAGAAACCACTGAACAACCTCCATTCGTGACAGACAGAGTCCTCAGGTCAAGCAGGCGAGGGGCTTTCATTCGCTCTAATTTCTGGCCAGTTGCCATGCCAACCGCAGCACCGATGAATCCAAGGCCAGGAGAAGAAGGGAAAAAAAGACAGCTTGAATGACGAGAGGAGAATTATTCTGAATGCCAAGGACGTCGTTATCTTCTAACGTCATGTGACGGGAGAGAAGAAGAAAAATAGGGAAACTAGAACAAGGAAAGACGCAGATATACGTGGAATTTGTTTACAATACTAGCTCACTTTTACTGAAGACAATGTCAGCAGTTTATAAAAAAAACACCAAAAAATTGATTGATTGTACAAACTGTGCATTACTTAGACATCAATTATCTATTAATTGCTTGTCTCCATTCTAGTCTCTGCCAAAAAATTGGAAAAGAGATTTCCATTATTGCATCACTGATTTAAGCATCTTTTTCCTCTTTGGTTAAGCGTGCTTTGGCTATGCTTACTGCTTTACGGTCTTTATGAAATAGATGGAGGCTCTGTTAGCACAAAATCAGCGTTAAGCAGCACTACGAAAATGGGCCCAGGTTTCATAAATAACAGGTTTCCGCAATACTCAAAGTATCCTATACAACACGAAATAACTACATACCCTGCATGTTAGTGTTAGACATGTTGCCTCTTACGCCAGGTGCATTTATTCATTCACTCTGAGCACAAGCTAACAGCAAGCTAAGAAATATCACCGCTGACACAACAACCCTCACAACATTTCCCACCCCCCCCCCCCAAAAAAAAGAAGACAAAAAGCCAAATTGGTTGTCATTTATCGAGTGACGGTGTCTTCAGCTCTGAATAATTAATCGTTCTTCTCCTTGCCCGGAGGAACCACTACCAGGATGGACCACTACGGACAGTGTTACACACCCGATGATAGATGCAGTCGCTCCACACAGGTAGAAACAGTTTAAAGATTCATGGGTCTCATCAGCTGGACTGACAGCCGAGAGTGTGGGGAGATGGGGGAAGAAGCGAGAGTAGGACAAGCAGAAGAAAGACAGGATAGAAATACACAGCTTCAGCAGCGACACAGTTTTGGTTTGTGAAGAGAATCAGTAAAAGCATATACCGGTAGGATCGTATACATTTGATGCATAGTAGCTTCCAATGATAAAACCACTCAAAAATCCACAGAAGAATGTTCAAAACCTAACCTGTTGAATTTTCACCCCAGTGGATGTTACACTTTTCGAGAAAACAGTGAAAAAGATTGCACAACCTTATGATCACAAAACAAGATTTTGTGGATATTATGCTTTCGAGAAAACAGTGAAAAAGCATCAACATCCTTTGGATATTGATACAAGATTTCGTCTTGACTGATCGTTGGAAATCATCTACATTTCTTGATTTCCTCCAAATGACAGCAAGTCAGACGGAATAATTTAACGGGATGTTTAGTACCAGTGCGATCTTTAAACCAAGTAAGATTTTTGATAGTAATTTGGAAGGTCGCTTTTGGGATAAATGCAAATGATCCTATATGCCTTTAAAGCGGTGTACCCACAATGGAAAAATATTTTAGGAATGCACATCACTACAAAACAGGCAAGCATGGAAGCTAACACTTTACCATATTTAGTTAGTCCGTGTTTTGCAATCAATTACATACCCGAGAACAAGTACAAGCCAGCTAGTCTGGTTCCCTGACCCCAAGTCTATAAATTGCTCTGTTTCATATTATTTGGGGTCAGGGAACCAGACAACAAGAACACGATTTGTTTTTCTTGGTTTTTCCAGCATCTACGAACACAAAACTTCAAACAAGTCAGTGTAACAATATTTGCTATAAAATGCTAACCCCCGCAATCCATCTATTTCTGAAAATGACAGCAAAAGCAAATGTTGTTTATTCCTTAAATTGCATAAGGAAGTTGC